TCTTGCCTCCACTGACGCAGCAAAGAGAGGGCGCGCAGGAAGACCAGGAGTGGACGCTCCAGCCTGAGGAGCAAACACTCCTATGTTAAGGAGCGGGCGCTCCTACTGTTCTGGAGCCCGATTTAGACGGATTTTCCTATGTAATTTTTGGGGGTATAAATACCACCCTTGGCTTCATTTTACGGATCTTCTTCCCCTTTAGCTTTCTTAGGCCCTTATCTCATAGTTAGTTTTCTAAACTCTCATTAATTAGCTTAGTTCTCTCAAACTCAATCATTGGAGTAGATTAATTGAAGTTTGTATTCTCAACTTCAACAATTTTTCTCAACTTTGAACTTTATTTAGTAATCTTTATCTCTTACTCTTTATATTTTTTGTTTTAATTACTTTCAAGTATTTATTTCTCTCTTAATCTTGTTTATTTTTTGTTGCATGTTCAATCTACTTCCATCTTATCAACCCCTCCAAATTGTTAGATTAATGCTAGAATTAGGACTTGTAGCTATGTTGTTCTTCACAATGATTAGTGAGTAGTTAATTAGCTAGGGGTTGGGTGAAGACCCAATCAAGCCATGGGTTGATTAATATTTGTGCTTGCATGTTCATTTTAGGTTGATGATTGATTGTTAAAGAATTGTTGATTGCATGTGTAATTGGATGATCACTTGTTGCTCATGTATTCACTTCTATGCTTGCATTGAACGATGAAGTTTGGTTCTGAACCTTTTCTTGTATGATTAGACTGAATTTCTATCTTGATTACAGTTCCTTGTTTGGATGATGTAGTAGTCTAGTTGCGATAATTAGGTGAGAAATCCTAATTATTTGTGCCTTAATGCTATCTTGGACCGATCAAAAGACAAACCTGATTTAGTGGTCCACTTTCCATCATTAAGACTTGGTTGGCCTATCATGTTAGCTGAGCTTGGTTTAGGAATGCTTAGTGTTGTGGCTTCGAAAGAAGACAATGTTGAGTGCCCTTTCTATCACCCAATTTGTGTTCATGTTTGCCTATTGTATTGATCTATTAGTTTGGTTGGTGTCGATTCCCATTTCCCCCTAGTGTTTGTCTCCATAGTAGTTAATTAATCAAAATCCCAATTTGTGACCGAACTAGATTACAACCATTTCATATTCTCGGTGTACTCACACCCATTCCCTGTGGATATGATCCTTTACTTACCCAATTACCCTAGACTTGTCTTAGGTTGGTTTAGGTAGAATTAGTGTTTAGTTTAGGGTGATTGTCCAGCGACCGATTTATTTTCTACCAATGGGTGGTTTCAAAGTGCTCGTTAAACAAGACCTTTATAAGCTTATTTGGTATGATGTGGAAAATTTAAGTGTTGTGAGTGTGAAAATCCTTGGCATTCAAATCTAGAAACAACTATGTTGGTGGAAAGCCTTGTACTTGGTAGTAAGACACACAAGAAAAACCGATATAAGTATTAGTCTCCTTTATCTTTTGCTTGCATGAATGTTGCCTAAAATATCGTTTATATTGAATGTGTGTACATGTGGTTGTGCAGTGGGCACATACATGCTCTTCTGTTTAATTTATGATATTTGTAGGTTATTCCAATACATGTACAAATTTCTATCAAGTTGCCATTAAATGTTTATTTAGTTTAAGTCTACCTATATACAGGCATGTAATATTTGTAAAATCAAGATGCTATATTTTGTTAGGACAAATAAAATTGAAGCTTGAGGTGATCTTTTGAAACATTAGTCTATTTGATGGAATGATGGACTATATCCTATTGTCTTCAAATCTTTGTAGGCAGGGTTGCAAGCATCTTGTTTTTTTCTTCCTTTAAAACAAGGTAACAAGAATGCAAAACACAGTTGCGGCTCAAGTTATTCACACAAATCTAGTTTGCATTAAAAATTTGATTATGAAAACATTTCTAACTATTCCTTGGAAAGATCCTTGAATTCAGTAAGTAGTCTAAGTAAGAAATTTTTATTATGCTTTAAAAAATTTATGTAACTAAGTTCATCTACATAAATTTATTTATGCGTTGTTTTCATTTGAATGCAATTCTAAGTAGAGATTTTTTAGCTTTAACAAAGCTCCTTCATGGTAACCTCTGCACACCTAGAACATATATTTCCTTGACTCTAGGATTTTTCAAAGACTTAGGATATGTGAAACTACGGAAGTATTGTGTATGTGTTGAATAACGAATTTTTTCAATTCTTTGGTAAATAATAAGGTAATATTATTTCTTTGCAGCATACTTTTTTAACCTTACCGCCTTTTTCTCTCTTATTGTAACTTATTTGTACAAATCATACCTGTTTATCATGTGGAAATTTTAAGGTTTTTAATTTTTGTGTGTCCTCAATATCTCTGTTGCATTATGCCATAAAGCGCGAGAGTAGCTAGAGAATGACAACGTTGATTAGATGCCATTTCTGAAAGTCCTCTTGATGCTAAAAATGTAATTGAAATTCTTTAGATGGATCTAAGAAAGAAGGGCTAGATGTAAGATCCTGAATATTGATGTAGTTGGAATTTTATTCATGCTTTGTGTTTGGGAGTTTTTTATGTGTCCTACGGGAGAGTAAAAATTTCCTAGTATGATCCTTCCTTCGCCTGTACCTGCACAAACAACGGAGACTCCGGCTGGGGGGTGGGAGTTTCGCCTCCGAAGATTAAGTTAGAATCTTTCTGAAGAGGAAATAAGAACAATAAATGCTTCTCGATTGGAGAGCGTTTGCAACGGGTTTTTTGTGTGGTTCGTTGTTGGAATTTTTTTGTCGATCCCCATAAATGAGGTATGCCCTTACTATTTATAGTAGGGAGAGTTGTACCTCGATTAGGGTACAATGACACGTGTCGCAAAGGGATTGGGCCTTTGCTGATCGTTGCGAACTTGACACGTGGCAAGCCATTATAGGGCCACGTGTATTAGGGGTATTTTTACCCTAAACATCTGCCCTTCACAGGTGTGACGTGGCATGTCCATGTGTCGCCTGTGACAAGTGTCAGACGCATGGGAGGAGACGGTTCGTCTTCTTCCCTCCTTTTTTCGAATTTCAAGTTTTTAGGGCAGAAGGCACCATTTCTCCTTCTGCTCCTTTCCTATAAATGAGAGACTCTCTCTCTCTCCTCCATACTTTACATATTTTTCAAAAAATTTCTGAGAGCTCTAATACCGGCTGCTACTTTCACGATTTTCTTGCATCCGACTTTTCAGAAACTTAGACATCCGGCTTCCGGTTGAGTGTACTTCCCTCAATTCCAGCAAGGTACCGGCTGTCCCTTTCTCTTTACTTTTAACTTCTGATTTTGAGGACTTTGAATGTTTTACCCCATCCGGGTTGCATGCCGCCTGGAGGGCCTTTAACCTATATCTCAGTACTGAATTCTCTCCCTCAACCGGCATAGCTCCGCCTGAGGGGTCTTCAACCTTTAAGAATTATGCATTCAAAACACCCCCATCCGGATTAACACCGCCTGGGAGGTCTCTGACACATTTCCAAATAGACTTCTCTTTCCTTTTAAATAACCAGGCATTCAAAGCACCACCATCCGGTGAAACACCGCCTGGGGTACTTCTGAGCTTGCCAAGAACTGATTTCAAAACCCCAGCCGGTTTATTACCGTTTGGGTCATCATCCTTGACTTTTCATGACCTTTTAGTGACTGAACTACTTCAGCCGGAGCACCCGCTTTAGTAGTTTTTCAAAGTTTTTTCTAATTGCATCTAAGGCACCCCCATCCGGTGCTTCGCCAGCTGGGGCCTACTTAAACAAGTTTCTTTGAAGCTGGTCCTACCATATCCTCATCCGGTATTTAACCGTCTGGGGTATCGTTGAATGACCTCAAGTCTTTGTAGCGCCTACAGCTGGTACCTATACCGGTTGGGGTGCTTTCAACTTGATTAGTTTTTTTTTTTTTTTTTTTTTTTTTTTTTTTTTTTTTTTTTTTTACAAGTGCTTTTCATAGCCCCCATCCGATCTTAAACCGTCTGGGGTACTTCTGACCCAATTCACTTGATACCGTCTGGGATATCTTGGGATGAACTTCGCACATTTGTTTAGTCAGCCTTCTAGCTACCACAGGCGGATAATTCCGTTTGTGGTATCTTTGAATGAGTTTATGAATAACCGGCTAACTTGTGCTTTTGTCTTTTCAACTTTAAACACATTCGTGGAGTTCTCCGCCTGATGTGAATTCAAGCCAATTTCCACATACCAAGCTTCATATTCTAAGGTACCGTCTGTATCCTTAGTAATTCTTTTCCCTTTATTTTCCGGCTGTGCATATAGAGTTAGGACATGGACTCCACCAATATAAACACGACACAGCCTACGACAGTGGTCAGCCGGTCACCAGGGACGGCTGAGTGTAGGACTGAGACTGCCGTCTAGGGGTGCTTGGGACAACCTTCACCTACTTCGAATCCGACTGTATCTGTTCATGTGCAGGATAGAATGACCCGGATTAGATGGACGACAGTAGATCCTGATTACAAGTCCGATGAAGCAGTCGTTGAGCCGGCTGACCCTTTAAATGAAGATCAGACGGAGGAACCGTCTGAGGGGGTTCCAAATGAGATTGCCCCGCAGGACTCCCCGGGTGAACCTAGCACACCGGGTGATAGAATATTGGGCAATTTTGGTTCTAATGCCGAGGAATCCAGCGAAGGATCAGATGACGAGGGGTCCGATGAGGAGTCTCCTGGAACAGCTGCCCCTATTGATGAGGAAGCCTATAAGTGGCCGGCTGCTGGTGACCCTACTGACATGACCATGTCCGCCAGGGACGTGGTTACTCTAAACGCAACACTACCTGCTTTCTTGAAGAAGAAGCCGGTATGGGAGGACTGGGAAATAGTTGTACCGCCTGTAGAGGCAAGCGTCGTTTGGACCGAAGACTTGGATAATGCCGACAATTAATTCGGCTGCTACGAGGCGACATTCACAGCCGGCCTCCGGTTCCCCCTTCATCACTGCATAAAAGTCATACTAAGGGGATATGACTTGGGTGTATGGCAGTTGACCCCCAATTCATGGGTCAACATTCTTGGATAAATTGCCGCCTGCGAGATGCAGGAGCTCAACACTACTACAAAATGAGTGTTTTTTCGACGCTGGTGCCTCGACGCTAGGTAAGGGGTGTCAGCAAATAGATTTAGTATCCGCGTTTTTTGGACGCTTTTAGGTGACAAAAGCAATTTTCGTCGCTGAAAAGCGTCGAGAAGACAACCACATGTGACGCACGTGAATTGTTAGTACCTCACAACCCAGCCCACGTTTCAATTTTAAGGGGAAAATAAACCAAAAAAAAAAAAAAAAGACTACTCAGTTCTTAACCCTAACTATTCCTCCCTCCTTCATGAGATTCATTCATGAATTCTAAATCCAGATCTTAACTCTCCCTTCAATTCCCCAATTTATGCTTGATGAAATTTCTCTACTCACTTTGAACTGTAATCGATTTTGTCACTCTCTATGCCGCCGTTAATTCTAAGGTACATCTTTCATTTTAGAACGAATTCGAATTTCGCTTTTGATTGAAATCTATTAAATTGGTTTTAGCAACTTTTTTTCAATATTATCACAAAATTATGATCTGATGTTGTTTGATTTTTTAATAGCAGTACAGAGATTATAGGGTTTTATTATATTTATATATACAATGTTATGCTTCATTTTGCGTTTACATTTGAATCTGGGTGAATATTTGGTTATAAGAAATAGTATAGTCAGATTTCATGTGCGAATTTAAAAGAATTTTATATTCAACCGATTGAATTGGAAATTTTGAAGCAAATTCCTAAAGAAAAGTTGGGATTTTGAGAAGCAGTAAGAAATGAAGCAAAAAGCACCAAACCGGAATGACAGTTCCTTTTTACTGTATTTAATTGGTTGTTTGATAGATTTTTGTTTATTTTTTAGTTAGTTTTAATCAAATTCAATTCATCTTTGGTTGTTGCTTTTACCTAGCAAATGTTACTTGTAATTTTGTATATGATTTTTCAATTTAATAATTAATTCCTCCTCTAGATCTATGCATTAAATACAGTGTTAAAGTTCTTTTGGTTTGCTTTCTTCCATTCTTTTTTTTAAGGGTGTACTAGGGACTGTGATTAAGAGGTGTTGAAGAAGTTTTTTCTCCACTTGATCTCCCTGATGCTCTTGTCTTACTGACATAGCAGCCACGTTGGGTGTTGCAGGTACATATGTGTTGTTGCTATTGTTATTAATTGTTGTTATGTTTTTGTTCTTGTTTGATGTTGCTGCTGCACACATTGAGGTGTTGTTGCAAACTTACTACTGCCTTCCTTTGTTGACTGAGCTGCTGCCCCAGCTATCTTCATGGCTGTGTTTATGTCCTATCTTGTGTGTGTCGTGTTTGTGGTTGTGATTGTGTCATATCTTGTGTTACTTAGAATTGAATCAATAAAAGAAATCCTTTTTGTGAATTTATAAAACTACTAGGATTCTACTTTGACAAAGCTAAGCTCACCTATGGCCTAACCTCACTTGCCTGTAGGACCTTTTTTAGTTTCATCTTGTTATATACTTTGACTAAAATCAATAAAAGAAACACTATTTATGTATTAATAACTTACCTATAAAACTCTAGGACTCAAGTTTAATAAATCTAAGCTTACTTTTTTTTTTCCAAGGAGGTCGGCAATTGCTTCAGAAACTACTGGGAACGAAATTTATGAGCTTGTCTGGAGATATGTTTATTTATTTAAGAACTTTTTCATAGTTATTTATAGGTAAAAGAGCCATTTTATGTGCTAGGTTTTTGTATACATCTTTAACCTTTTTTTTTGGTAAACTTTTGTCCATGTTTGAATATTTTATAAATATAAGAGAGAAATCATTTTATTATAGAAATTATACTCTGAAATTACGAGTTAGCAAAAGATGAACTTTGATTAAAATCTACTCTCTTCAACTAAATTGTAACATATTTTTCTTCAACTGAATTGTAGCATAAAATTACGATTAAGTAATTTTTTTTGTCTTATTTGTACTCTCTAGCTCTCTGCTCACTTAAAAAAAATACTTAATTAATAAAACTATAGAATCCTGATGATTGTATGGAATACTATCTCTTTTGAAAAATGAATGGCCTTGAAATGAGGGCTGTAAATCCTGCAATAGGGGTAGTTTGATTAATTCATTTTTTGGAATCTTGCCTTTTGAAGTAATAAGGTTTTTTAAAATCCTGCATTTGAAATAGAAGTGTTCAGAATTAGCATGAATCAAATTAAAGGCTTGGCAATACAAGAATTCAAGAAAAGCAGTAATGTTGCTAGGAAGGCTGCATCATTTCCTATGTACGATGAGAAAGAGAGTGGCAATCTATACCTGATTTAATTATCTGCTAATATTCTCCTGTAATTTTCTGTTAGTTTGTTATTTGCCTCTTGTTGATTTAACAATTTTATGTACTTTCTTACATGTAGAAGTATGTTGTTGTCGATAAATATAGCTGTGTTTCTATTTGAGATAGCTAGTTTAGTAAAAGGTTCAGACTACAACCTCTATTCGCTGCTTTTGATGTACGGTGCCAAGGTTAATGATCTGATTTTTTTGTGTAGTTGACGATGGCAGGAAACATTTGAGCTTTATTACCTTTATTTTCGTATTGATTTTCGTAGGACCTGCTGTGAGTGCTGACTTCGTTTGGCTCGTTCTCCTTCGTTAGAGAAGCTTTTTAGGTGATTCTTTTTTTGAACTTGGGTGTTTTTTTGTCTACTTTCTGACTTTAAAATTTCAGAATTTTTGGAGTTTATTTGCTATTAAACTGGGCTGTTTTGTTTGGACTGGTCTGTTTTGGTTCGAATTGGTTTATTCTTGCTGTTTGGGTGGGATTTTAATAGAGTTGTTCTGTAATTTTCTCTAGGGATTTCCTGGGTGATTTAGGGTATATTGAGGGTGTTTGAAAATATTATTGCACTCTTTATTCCCCTGTGTTTCTTCCTGCTACTATTTTCTTGTGCGTTCATTTTTCCCTTGTATGTGATTACTATGGCAGAGGAATTGGTAAATAAAAAAACTTATGGATGATTTCCACTTGATTAGAGAACAAAACAACTAGATTGTCAGACTAAGGTTAGATTCGAGGCTTTCTCTACTCTAATAATTGACATCATAAAAAAAAAATAAAAAAAAAAAGAATAGTGATGATGATTCTTCTAGTGATGGTATGAATCAAGAGTTACCATAATTGTGGTATACTGCGGTAAGGTATATATTCTCCAAAGAAAGTCTAAAAGGTTAATGGCTATTTTTTCCTTTTTGATTGCAGGTCTGAGCATTTTGTCACAATCTGAACTTTGTTTTACTCCCCCTTGCAAGAAGCTTAAGAAACCATAATTGTGGCTTTCGACTAAACGTGTAACGAGAATAGCCAAGAAGAAAAAAGGTACATCACCATCCTCTTTCTCTTTTTATCATGGCTCTGCATATTCATCTATTATTAATATTCATTGTAGAAATCAAAACTTAAGAATTTGGCAAATGATCTCTTCTCTTCTGAGTGTATGGATGCCTTGATACTTTTGGTATGTTCTTTACTCCATAATTAGTTATGAAAGTTGGTTGTGATTTTGATTTGCTTAAATTACTAGGTGGAAAATATTTTTCAGATATTATATTCTCTATATAGTCAGTAATTTTGATCTACTATTGTATTTAGATTCGCTTGTTGATGTATTGATTGATGCATATGCTGAAATGTGTTTGCAGGATCAAAAAGATTATATATATATTGAGAAATGGTAGAAGAGGGCGGACAACTAACACTGCAATATTTCAAGGATGGAAGAAAGATATATTTTAGCTATTTAAAGATTTGAATCGGTGATTTGGAATTTGTTCCACTACAACTAGTCACGAATGAAGTATAAGTTGGAATTATATTTATTGTAATAGAAAACTCATTACTATGAGATATTGTACATTTATATGAAATAAAAAATATTTGGCATAATTTTGTTGTACGTGTATCTTTTTTTTTTGGTAATATTAGTTGCTAGAAATAATTGTCAGTGAATAAAATTTGTATCTTATTTTGGTATCTAGATATTTATTTACAGAATATTGACAACAAAAAGCGTCCCCAAATTAGAAAATATAGACATGAAAAAGCGTCGCCAAAGTTAAGAAAGTGCGCCAATTGTTGCAAATTGCGACACATCGTATAAAAATCTGGACAAAACAAAGCGTCGAGATTCGCGACGCTTGTTGTCGGCAAAATTCTCGACTCACTTTTTCTCGACGCTTTTTATAAGCGTCGAGAAAGATTTTTGCGACGCTTTTCTGTGTCGAAAAAATGGCTTAAAAGCGTCTAAAAAGAACGTTTTTTGTAGTAGTGCAAACCAAGCTGGGAAGCTTTTGCACACATGCATTATCTCAGCAGGGCGCCGGGTGGGTGGAATGCATGGTATACTCTAACCACACACCCGAAATATATGATGACGTTGGACAAACTGTCCAAATGGAGTAGCTGGAAGAGCAAATTTTATGCCGTCTCTTCGCCATCTCCTCAACTAAATCGCTGGCTGCGTAGATACAATAAATACCCAGCTTTGCTTGGTAGGAAGTGTGCTCTACCTAGAGTGCTAAGCGAGGCATGGGACCAAATCATGGAGAAGGGTCTCTTCAAAAAGACAACCCTCCGCCTGGATGATGGGAGCGAGATAATAGTTCCCTAATTCTGGGTGCCCCACCCAGACTGGTTCAAGGATGAGGCGTTTATCTCCGCCTGTAACCTTAGCACCATGTTCCTAAGAGTAGGTTTTTATTATTTACCGGCCTTTGCCGCCTAATACTGCCACTTTATACTGCATTTTAACCATTATTCTTTTGTTTTTGCAGAAGTAGCGATGGAGAAGCTACCCAAAGAAAAGACACCGGCTACCTCAGCCGCTCTGCTCCGGAAGGAGCAAATTGAGAAGAAAAAGTTGCAGCTGGTGGCTAAAGACGGCGGGGTAACATATATTTCATCTATTTCACCGGTTGTAGCATTTCTATGCTGTGTTGACATTAACCGGTTGGTTTTGTATATTTGCAGGCTGGGAACAAAGTCGTTCCTCGCTCCTTGTCTAAAATGGTCAAGAGACCGGCGGGGGACATTCCTCTGCCTCCTACAAAGATATTAAAGATGCCGGTTCCTTCGCCAGCTAAATCTATTCCAAAACCGCCTGCAGGAGGCAGGCCCACCACTGCAGGCAAGAGCCTTAATGGAATTGTTCCCACCATAGAAGTGGTGGATGAGGGTTTAAAGGAGCCGGAGACTCCGGCTGGCCAGACTCAAATGGGTACTGGCTCAAACGCGGCTGGGGGTGATATTACCCCACAGTCCGACAAAGGTATGACTTTTTCCTTTGATCCCCCTTGACCGCTTGGGCCTATACGAGTAAAGACCCAAGCTTGCCAATCCGGGGATTCTTCTGGCAGCCGTCAGAATATTGGCCAGCGTATGCCCAACACCTGACAGATAAATCTCTCATTGTAGATGCTACCTCTAGCCGGCCAAACTATCAGCAGTACGCCAAGAGGATGATCCGGACCCTTACCCGGACCGAGAAAGAGGCTGTGCCGGCTGTGCATACAGCCAACATTGACCGGATCACTTCTCTTCTGGCTGAAGTAATTTTACCAGATGCATCACCTTCTTGTAATTTCTTTGTTTGCCGCTTTAGTTGTTGTTTACAAAATAATTCTAACATTCCTCTACCGGCTAATTTCACAGGTGATGCTGAGAGTTGACGGGCTTCAAGTCCCCTTGCGCAAGAAGCAAGAGGAGGTAAGGGATGCCCAGAGACGGGCATCTGAGCTCATTGATGTTTCCCAATACAATGCCATTAGATATGACATGGAAATTAAACGGCGAGAGTTGGAACAGGAGGATTTACTGAAGTAGACTATTGCGGCTTCTGCGGCGGAAAAAGCGAGGGCGGATGAGCTAGATTTGAAGGTAAAAAATCTCCAAGCCGATCTCAAGGCTTTGAAGGAGCTGACAAGGAAAACGCCGACCTTCGCTCTGACAACAGCCGGCTCAAAAATGAACTTGCTTCTAGTCAGGCGGCTTATAAAGAAGAGCTTGAAAAATAACAATGCCGCCTGATTGCTGAGAACGAGACCAACAATGAGGAGCGCATGAAGCTCGCTTGGGGGATCATACACCCGGACTATGACTACGAATTCTTCGACCTTAGATATAAGTATGCCTCAGAGGTATATGATGCCAAGGTCCTTGGCCTGGACCCGCCTTCTTCCATCGATGAGTGGGTCAGTTTGGTCGAAGAAGAGCAGCAAGAGGGTGAGCAGCAGGCGCAGACTCAAAAGCCGGCTCGGGAGCAGGTGCAGGAGCAGCAGCAGCAAGAGCAACAGCAACAGTAGGAGCAGCAATGAATTTTTTTATATATATATCTTCTTTTACCGGCCTGCATGCCGTGTTCATCAATGTACCTTTTCCCGGACAAGGGTCCGATTAATATTTTTAATTTTAATCTACTAGCCGACTCAGTCGGTTTTGCTATTTATATTTATCTTTTACTTGCAATTTTTGAAAATTTCTTGCAATTTTTACAAGTATTACAAGTATCCTCTACTCATACCGGCTGATACAATAAGATGCCCCTGAAGCGGATGACTGTTTATTCCAACGGTAAACAGGCAGCCGTTTCAAGGATAGCCGGCTGGGTTTGGGTTGCAATATACCGGATGATATAATAAGATGCCCTTGAAATGGTTGTTTGTTTACTCCAACGGTAGACAAGCAACCGTTTCATAGGTGACCGGATGGGTGGTATAACCGTCTTGGTATCCTTTGGATAAGGCCCGGTTGTCCTAACCCATATTAATATAACTTGAATTTTTATACTTGGAGTAACATCAAATGAGTGTTTATCCGGAATACCTAACCTGTGTAGTGCTTTGCTGCACAAACCGGTTGGTGTTTTACTAGGATTTTTATTTTGCTGCATGGACCACTTTTGGGTCTATGCTGGCTGAATCCTATATGCAATGGATCATTTCGAACGGTTGTTTGTTACCTACAATGGTGTGTCAGTAATGCCGTTTGAGTTTTTATGATCGCTAAGACAATGTACCACCCGGAAGGGAGTTGCCCTCTTCGACGATTTCACCCGGATGGGTGTCGCCGGATGACTGCTCTTTTTGGAGCAGTGATTTTTAATAAGTGTTCTTCCGTCTGTGTTTTTGCACTAGACAGGTGCTAATACAATTGGATGAATGGAAATTATATGATTTCACATTTCAATACTATTTACGAAAATTACAAATTCCTTAGAAGTAGTACTTTTTCAAGTTATCTACGTTCCAGGTGCGAGATAGCTGCATTCCGTCTGGGGTTTCCAGGTGGTAAGTGCCATTTCTAACTTCTTCAAAAATCCGGCAGGGTCCTTCCTAATTGGGAGTTAACTTCCCTTGCTCATTCGCCCTACCGATTGCTTCAAGCTTACGTAGTACAAAATCTCCTACTTTAAGGGGTCTTTTGCGCACCCTTTTGTTGTAAGCTCTCGTCATTCTCAGACGGTAGATTTCGTGACGTAAGGCGGCATTGCCCCTTTTTTCAGGAAGAGAATCTAAAGCTAGACGCATGGCCTCCCAATTTGCGTCTTCGTCATATAGCATGATTCGAAGTGTTGGTTCATATAATTCAATGGGAAGCACCGCCTCTGTGCCGTATGCCATAAGAAATGGGGTTTTACCGGTTGACCCCTTCTCAGTCGTTCTGATAGACCAAAGAACATGGGTCAACTCCTCTGCCCAAAGACCGCCTGCTTTTTCAATCTTTTTCTTGATTCCGCCTGAGATGAGCTTGGTAAAAGCTTCTACTTGACCGTTTGCCTGGGGACGGCCTACGGATGCAAAATAATGTGAAATTCCTTGGTCTTGTAACCAAGTTTTGAGGATAGGCGTTTCGAACTGCGGACTATTGTCAAAGACCATTGACATAGGAACACCGAACCGGGTGATGACATTTTTCCAGATGAAGGAGATGACATCCTTAGTTTTGATGCCCTTTACCGCTTCTGCCTCAACCCACTTTGTGAAGTAATCAACGGCTACTAAAATGTATCTTCTGCCGCCTGGGGCAGGTGTGTATGGCCCCAAAATATCCATGCCCCATTTGGCAAATGGAATAGGGCTGTAGATGGTTGTTAGATCAGTAGCCGGCTGACGGATTAGCCGGCCAAACCTCTGGCATTTGTCACATCTCTTTACCAGATCTAGTGCATCTGCCTCAAGAGTTGGCCAAAAGTATCCTTGCCGCCTGGCCCTCTTTGCAAGAATCTTGCCGCCTATGTGTGATCCACAGAAGCCGGCATGAAGGTCTTCTAGCACTTCCTTTCCCCTTTCTGGGGTTACACACTTGAATAACGGCTGTAGGTAACCCTTTTAGAAGAGTTCACCCTTGTGCATGACAAAACTTGATGCTCGTCTCTTGAGAGCAGCCGCTTCTAAAGAGACACCCGGCAAAGTGCCGTCTACCAAGTAGTCCCGGATGGGATCCATCCAGGTAGAGCTTCGATCTAGAATTCCAATGGGATCATGTTCAATGCTTTTCTTTTCCATGACTTCCTAGAAGACTGACCTAGGCGTATCACAAGTGGCGGATGACGCCAGTTTAGATAATGCATCCGCCTGATTATTCTCAGACTTGGGTACTTGACTTAAATTAAATTCGTCAAATGCCCCGGCTTCTTACTTGACCACCTGAAGATACTTAATCATGACCGGATGGGTGGCTTCATAGTCACCATGGTATTGGCTAACGATGAGTTGAGAATCAGAACAGGCGTTCACCTTCCTTGCCCCGGCTGCCTTACACATGCGGATACCGGCTAGCAAGGCCTCGTACTTTGCTTCATTATTTGAAGCTTGAAACTTGAATCGTAGAGCATACTCGTATTTGTCCCCTTCTGGGGAATGACAAATTACACTTACCCCAAAACCGTT